GTCCCCTAGTCTCTCCTCAAAGGGCTTGGATGTACAAGTCATTTTAGAAAAGATATACGTACATGGCAGCATATCCCAGAGCCCTAGGAACAGAGCACCTCATCCACACAAAAAACTAGAGTAGCCAAACAGCACAGCCTCTTTCAACATGCGTGCCTTAAAAGACTAAGCCTACAGGAAACACAGACTCACTGGGCACTTCCACTAAACCCCACTCTCTTTTTCCATCTGGTTTTTCTGTTTTCCTACAACATGAATGAAGCTGCAGATGTTTTGCAGATTTCTTTGTTTTTACTCTGGTCTCTGATAGGGATGTTACAGCTGGTTACAATGTCAAAATCTCTGAAGCGTGAGTGCTTCTCTCCGGTTCAGGTAATTTCTATGCAGAGAGGAGTGACTGGAGAGATTTTCAATTGCCTTATTTTGTCCCGAAAAGTAGTAAATAAACCTGATGCTGTTCACAGTTTGATAACTTGATATCAGTCTAACTTCTTTGCCTCACTAGTGTTCCCCCTGTTTTACACATTGTGAATGAGAGCAGAATCAGGTTCTCAGATACAGTTTGATACCTGGTCATGAAAAATCTTAGCAGTTCAATCATTCGATATCCTGACTCTCTGTTTCTGTGTGTTTTTTTTCTTGCAGCTGTGGTGGTTCTGGCATTTGTAATTTGCTGGTTGCCATTCCATATTGGCAGGATCATATTTATAAACACTCAGGATACCAAGATGATGTTTTTCTCCCAGTACTTCAATATATTTGCTTTTCAGCTCTTCTATCTGAGTGCATCCATCAACCCTATCCTCTATAACCTCGTTTCAAAAAAGTACAGGGCAGCAGCCTACAAACTATTGCTGCCACACAGATCTGGACAAAGTGCTTTTACCGTTACGAGAGATACTGGAGGCTGCACAGAGACCAGTGCCAGCATCAGAAATGAATACATAACCACTTTCTGAGACTGGTCTGCTGATTTCACCGAGGCACTTTTCAGGATACTTTCTGTAAGTGAAGGGCAGTTCATTTTAGCATTGCAGTTATAAAAGGATGGGCATTTATTGTTACTTATGAATTTTATTCTCAAGTGGTATTTTTCCTTAATATTTGTTTTTTGTGTTAACACAGAAAGTTAGCAATATCAAGAGTAACATGCAACTAATGCAAAGCAAAAGTTGTCATTATTACACCTGTTGTCGTTATTACGCCTCAGTTGTCATATGTAGCTACGTACAATTTTAAGGACTCAAAGCTATGGTGCCAAATAGGGAAGCTATGTTGTTCAGTAACTGAGAGATTCCAAGAGCTTTTACCCTTTTAAAACTTATTTCTCACGAACAAAATAAATATGCAGGGGCAAGGATCCATCACCATGAATGTCCTTGCAGAAATGGCCAAATCCTGCAAACAGGAGTAATTGGTCCTGTGAATAATATTAGTGTATTCTCCCCAGTTAAGAGCTACTCCTGTGCACACCTGTTTGTATAGATCCCAAGGCCCAGGAGATCTCTATACATGAACCAGTGCACTATGTCTTAAATGATTTTTAAATCCCAACATTGTTGATTATCTCCTTACTAAATAAATTGAAAGAATTAGCTCAATTTAAGTTAACTTGCTAACTATAACTGAGCCTACAAGTTCTAAAAACAAATTAGTTGGGAAGAGCAACTTGAAAATAAGTTATTATTACTTCCAAAGACTCACAATATGTTGCCTATGCACAAAGAAACTTGACTACACTAATGGAAATCAGGAACAGTTCCATAGTAACTAAGGGCACCTATACATGAGTGGAAAGGCTGCTCCAACTCACTGGAATTCCAGCACATCAGAGCAGACTCAATTAATCGAGTCTGCTGGAGTGTGGCAATTGCCGCACTCCAACAGCCTCCCGCATCTTGTGGATCAGCATCCCCATGCTTAAAAATGGTGATGGAGCGTTTGAACTAAAGTTCGTTGAACGTTGAATAAGCTTTAGTTCAAGTGCCCCGCCA